GCAGATTCCTTCAGTCTTCTGAGGCACCATGGCGACGACTGATATGCTAATTTCAAGCACAAAGGTTCATGCCTTAACAGAAGTTTGAAAAATATATCTGACTCTTTTCCCAAAAGTCATAACCAGTTATGTCCATCAGAAATCATAAATTTGAGGTAAGAAAACCGCTACAGATGTTAAAAGAAGTCATGATAAATCCTAAATTTTCATCACAGGACCTTCAGCAGGATCTTATACTGTTTATGTGAAAGTGCAAGATTCACCTATCAGAAAGAGAGAAGAGTTGAATTTTCATGGGAGGTGTGCAAGGAGGAAAGCTTTGCTCTCTACCAGAAACATAAAGGCCAGACTGGAGGCCAGTTTAGACCATGACTTCTGGAGTAATGTTCTTCGGACAGATGAGTCTAAAAATGAATTATTTGGACACCAGAACAGAAAATATGTTTGTTGTAAACCAAATACAGCATCCCAAGAAAAGAACTGTGAAGCACAGAGGTGGAGGTGTCATGGTTTGGGGATGCTTTTCTGCAGCAGGACCAGGCCAGCTCTACTGTGTGTGTGTGCTTGAGGAACGTGTGAAACCATCTGTAAAAAGAAAAAAGAAAAAAGAAAAGCTCAAGTGGAACTGGACCCTGCAACATGACAATGACCCAAAACACAGCAAATCCACCAAGGACTGGACATTTCTTCATAAAGAGCTGCCTATTTAATGCGGTGTCCTAATTGTTTCACATACGCACAAACACATACATACATACACATATATGTTCCTACAAACGTACATAATACCTTTAGAAAACACAACAAAGAACATAATGAGTTTCTGAAACACTGTTTGTTTTTTTCTATTTTATCGTTAAATTTCTTAAATGCTGCTGTATTTTACAAAATGTTGCGTTTTTGGAAAATCCACATATGTTTGGTTTTGATGTACAGTGAAACCCCACCATCCCCCCTCACACACACACACACACACACACACACACACACACACACACACACACACACACACACACAAAAAAAAAAAAAAAAAAAACAGTATTTGTTTTGGACTTAATCCACGCAGACTTGAAGCGCCCAGATGCGGACACAGTTGGTTACAGCAGATCCTCTTATACAGCAGAATGAGAAGAGCCTCGGGGCGACGTGGGTGTACTTCACTGCAACATTTATCTCAAATACTGATGCTGCACAACTCCATTTTAAACCAAATAAACATGCTCACTTTTAATGGATTTTTTACACTCAAAACAGTCAGGGCTGCATATTTACATCAGCTCTAAATTAATTTTTAGAATGTTCTTTTTGATATTTGCAATTTTTTATCAATAAAGTGGTGTGTTTACATCTAAAATGATGTTAATTTGTATTTACTCAGTGTGTAAATGTCTTCTGAAGCCAGTGTTTTACTATACAATCAGTCAGGTACAAATGTAAATCTGTGCTGTTGGTATTTGCTTAAAATATTTAGGTCGTTTTGATGAAGTCTGGATTTTTGTGTGTATGATGTGTACAAAAGAGGATTTGGTTTCACCACGCCACAGAAGACTTGTCTCCGCATTTGTTTCTGTTTTATTTGGATTGATCTATTTCTGTCAGTTTTGTCATTTACTTTTGGTCTCTGACTCACATCTTGGCCGCTGACATTTGCACATAAAAGCTCTTATAGAGGCGGCGGCGGCGGCATAAAACAGCAGCCTGCAAATAACTGCTCGTAACCCTGACAGAAATCCCTTCAGCTGCTGTTTCTCTGCCTGGTGACACACCAATAAACTCGTGTCAGATAGTCCGACGCCCACAAGAAAACACTTCCATGTTTGGTGCTTTATGCAGAAAAACTTTCCTTTTGCATGGCTGTTTTATTTTTTCAAAAAATATCTTGACGGGGATCAGACCTCAAAAAGAACGAAACATTTCCCTTAAACACACAGTTTGGTCTTGATGCTCTTTTTTTCCCCTTCGGATAAACACAAATGCATCTGCATACATACAAGTCAAAAAGTACATGTTTTGTTTTGAATGGTTACATAATGATACACAGTTGCCCTTTGAAATGTGATGATACACATCCATAGTTTTAACTTTTGTACAGTTTATTTCATCAAAGTTGTGCTATTTGTCTTCTGCCAGTGTTTATTTTTCCTATTTTTTATCTCTTTCTTTTTTTTTTCTTCTCAAACCAGCAGACTTTAAAGGAAGAAATGATCATGTTCTCCTCCTGGAGAGCAAGCAATGACATTAAACAGTTCGTTCATAAAGAGGGACAGAAAAAAAGCACCAGAGGAACTGAAATTCAGTCAAAGGTCGCCTCTTTGTCATGTGAGTGGGAGTCCCGGTATTTCTCCTTGGTGCGTGAAGGTCTCACTGAGTCCCGCCACCCGGATAAGACCTGTCTCTGGATCCAAAGATGGAGGCAGGTCGGGCCCGTCACACGCAGCCATTTTCCTGTCTGGGCTTGTGTGCCACAGGGGTGTGCGGGGGGTAAAGGGAAGGAGCCAGCGTGCACAGGAAGCCAGCCAGCAACGTGAGGCCCAGTCCGCCCCACGCACAGAACATGGACCAGCCGTAGCCGTGACTGATGTCCTCTGGGATTCCAAACATGTAGCGGGGATAGCGGGAAAGTTCAAAGTTGATCCCGGCCACGCATGTGCAGAGGGAGATGATGCAGCATGTGCCTGATGGAGAGCAAGGAAACAAAACAACCAGACTTTAAAGCAGTGAGCATCAACTGATGGGTCACAGGCTGGAGGTGGCCCACGGTGGACCTATTCCAATCTGTGAGGGTAGGTCAGTGTGTGTGTGTGTGTGTGTGTGTGTGTGTGTGTGTGTGTGTGTGTGTGTGTGTGTGTGT